TCTTATACTTCGTTTTCTTTTTCCTCTTTTTAAATGAATAAAATACCTGATTTTTTGATTTCTGATTTGTCACTTTTTGTCTTATTTATTTATAACCCATTGTTCTTATAGCTTTCCCTTTTATTCCATTATCTTTCGTTCTTTTGTCTTCCACATCAAGTCGGTCCAACTATTGTATTCTTATCTACCTGTTGTCAACTGACGAAAGTAGGATAGCATTGATAGTATTCAGTTATCAGTATTTGTGAAGTAAGAGTTGCTAATGGTGATGTTTATTATAATCCAACTTATTGGAGATATTTTTCCGACTTAGAACAAATAATGTCTGCAGTTTTAATTAAATCGGTGAGCATGTGGATTTTGAGGCAAATATACCTTCGTCTAGTTTACTTTTGCATGGCGCTAGCGGTTAAATCTTATTACGAAGATAATCACGGAATAGGCAAAGATAATATGAACATCTCGGGATTTCTGATTAATATCGATAGTGAAAATTACTTGAGCTTGTTTATATCTTATTCAAGAGCACGTGTGGAGATTTCTGTGAGAGATAAGTGGTTATTATAAGGAGTGAATATGACCAATTAATACTGACTGCCTGTATTTTTGCATTCTATACTGCTAGTAGAATGGAAAGAAACGGAAAAGAAAGGAAGAAAAAGAGGTCATTTGTCTAAGATTATAACGCCGTGATCATTCTAATAGAATATGGAGTACATAAAAAAAATAAAAAATAAAAAATAAAAAATAAAAAAATCAAAGAAAAAAGAAAAAAAGCATATAAGAGAAAACAATTTCTTGAATCTTTTAAGATTGTCTTTTCTTTTTTTACACAGTAAGAATTTAAAATAAATATTCAGTACGACCAATGGCGCGTCTTTTACTTTGTTCCTATAGAACATTTTGTTATATATTATAGATATTTTTATATGATTTTGACAATGTTAGCCTTATTTTATAATGCATTAAGGTCTTTATGATAGTATTTTCAATGGAATAGTTTTAAATAGTTTATATAATTTATTCAAATATATATACATATATAAGTTTTCTTGAGAAATTTCTTAATAATATTTTTATGAATGATGTTGAGTATTTTTGTAAAGCGATGTTCAACAGAACGGGAATGTCACTAAATGAAATATGGTTTTTATCATTATATGTATATAGGCTAACAGGCCTTAGCATTTCAACTCCAGCCTCTCACTTTTAGCATCTATTAGAGAGTATAACTGTGATTCAAACTTCTTAGCTCTGTTGTTATTACAGCTCTAGCCGGTTTTTGGTTGTCATACAATTGCCTCCAAAAATCATAATCAGGTCTCCGGTTCATCTAAGCGTCAAATATATGTATTTTTTAATGAAAAGTAAATCCTCTTCAGATTTCTGTGACATCTAGCCAGCTCTAATCGATGGCGTTTTAATTTCTTACGAAATATAAAGGTCTTTAATATCATGATGAATATTTATCAGTTTGAAACATCACGAGATGGTGAACACCGTATTTTTCTCTTACAATACACTTCAT